AACCCTAAACCCAAAGCCCTAGACCTGAGCTCTAAGCCCTCGTAAACCCTAGCCCTCAACCCTCATCCCTCCACCCGGAGCTCAACGGAACACTGGTAACATCCTTTCGTCCTAAATCCCGAAAGCCTCAATGTAGAGTTTAGGACTTTTAGGGTTTTGGGGCTTTTAGGGGTTTAGGGTGTTCAGGGGGCGTAGGGCGTGCGTTAGACGTAATAGCATTGAGGGTATAGGGTTCGCTTTAGACGTTTTAAACGTTCCAGGTCTAAGTTTTCATGGTTCTGACAACGAGGGTTCAGTGTTTCGGGTCATGGTCGTTTTTGTTCCATCTCAGCACAGGTGTGGCGCAGAGCAGATCTGGAATTACTTCGATATGTTCTTGACGGCCATGCCGGCATGGTTTCGGGTATCCCAAGTAAAAGTAATTATGAGCCTTAAAACCCATGTACAACCTGTCCACCTGATCATGTAACGTGCACGCGAGCTGTCGGGTTTCAAAGTTTCGTTTTGGTGTACAGGCAGCATGACAATACACACTTTTTCGCATGCACTGTGGGCGTGCGCATATACTTATGCCTGCGCATATACAAATCGATGCGTAAACAAGTGAGAGAGAGAGAGAGAGAGATACAGATGGGGGCGTACATATACCGATGCCTATATGTGTTTAACGGTTATACACATGTTCGTTGTTCATTATTCACGGTATATGCACACTGCATACACGTCTGTTTCGATATGCGTACACGCATACATGCATACATACTGACATACATACTGACATACATACATACATACATACATACATACATACATACATACATACAGTACATACATACATATATGTGTATATTTACATAAACAAGTCCTTACATACATACATACATACATACATACATACATACATACATACATACATACACACACATACATACACACACACATACATACATACATACATACATACATACATACATACATACATAAAAACACATACATGCACGTACTCACTACGCACACATGGGCGTATCTTTGCATGAATGCATACATGCATGTGAATGTGTGAACTTGAATGTGTCTACATGAATGCACAACACCTTCGCAAAACATATGTATGTGCATACTGTGCTACATGTGTATGCAGATACCACATGAAGCAGTAAGCTGGCGAGCTTCTGAGATTTGGTGTATTTCCTGTTGAGCCAGCTCTCGATTTCTTGCAGAGCAAAATCTGGGAAAGCATGCGATTTGTTTTTTGAGTGCACAGGGTTTAGGGAAAGGGGCACTGGGACGTCCCCTTGGAATTGTCGTTTGTGGGCTTTGAAACTTAAATGCCTTAAGTCCCGCGAGGGTTTTGTCTGACGACAGTCCATTGGCATCGTGGACGTCATCTGGCAGTTCGCTTCCACTGCATCGCCTGCCACTGGGCTGGCTCTTCGAAATTTTTTCGGTTTGCGGGTTCACCTGTCGGATAACCGTCAAACACTGTCTGGGTTGCCGCTTCACCTTAGAGGTCCAAGTGCTGTATGTGTACATAGATACGAATAAATGCACATATGCATGTAAGTCTATATGTGTGTGCATGTGTATGTATCACAGTATTGTATTGTAATTCATTGCACTGTACTGTACTGTATTGTATTATCATATATGGTATTGTATTGTATGGTATTGTGTTGTATTGTATTGTATTGTATTGTATTGCACTGCACTGCACTGCACTGCACTGCACTGCACTGCACTGCACTGCACTGCACTGCACTGCACTGCACTGCATTGCCTTACGTTGCATTGCATTGTATTGGACAGATGTATTGTTGTACATATGCTCATACATACATACGTATTTTCGTATGTATGCTTGTATATACCTAAACTTACAAGAATTCCGTCGTGATTTTTGTTTAGGATCAGGTGACTCAGTGTGCTGGGTAGTGGAATGAGGCATCTGTCTGTGGGAGTGCGTGGTGGTTTCAGGCTCTCAAGATGGTACGTTCACGTTGCTTTCGTCCCCTAAACCCTAAGCTATAAGCCCTAAACCCTAAACCCTAAGCCCTAAGCCCTAAACTCCAAACCCTGAACCCTAAGCCCTAAACTGCCCTAAATCCTAAACCCTAAACCCTAAGGCCTAAACTGCCCTAAACCCTGAACGGTGGGTTTCCACAGGCTGCGCTTGAGACCCTGGCAGTCGGAAGGATGGACCGCGGATATCAGCTGGATGTGTCTGTCCTACTTGTAAACCTGGGGACGAAATGAACCCTAAAAGGGTTTAAGGTTCATATGTTTAGGGGTTTAGGGTTTAGGGTTCAAGGTTCATATACCATATAGGGGTTCATAGTATAAGGGAGTAAGGCCCCTACCTTCAAGGCTTGCCTTGAGGACCAAATGACCCTTAAAAGTAGGGGCCTGATTCCCATACACTATGAATCCCTATACGGTATATGAACCTGGAGTTTTTTTAGGGTTCATGTCGTCCCTAAGGTGTAAGTACATAAGACTGTGTGCGTGTAATATAGCGGCCTAAATCTCCTAGATAATTACCTCTATACTTTTGAGGTTCCTTATCATAATATTGGGCCCAAAACAATACTCTATTCATGAAGGCCCGTATACTATACGAATGCGACTATGACTGGTCTTTGTTCGCTACTGTTTTAACAATCGTCATTGTGATTGCTACTGCGGTTGTTACTATCTTGGTCCGGGGCCGAAAACTGTTAATCTACCCAAAAACTCAAAACCCTGGTATTCTAAAGCCCTTAGCCCTACATAGCCCATCTGAGGACATTTTCTAAAGCCCTTGGCCCTACATAAACCCTAAACCCTAAACCCTAAACCCTAAACCCTAAACCCTAAACCCTAAACCCTAAACCCTAAACCCTAAACCCTAAACCCTAAACCCTAACCCTGGTATTCTAAAACTCTTAACCCTAAATAACCCATCTGAGGACATTGTGGGGACCCTGCTGCTGCGGTGCTTCCGCCTCGTCCGACTTGCTCGTGTAGTGACGCCTGGCCGGAAGCTCCTAGAAAACCCCAGCGGAAACCCTCGAACCCCAAGTATAACTTAGGAGCCCAGTAGGTAGACTTTAAACTTTTTGGTATATTAAACCCCCTACTAAAAAAAAAGTTTAAACTTTTTTGGGCCAGGGTACTGGGCTTCAAGGTATATGGTGTAGGGCCCAGGGTTTACAACCCGACGCACTACAACCTTAGGCCCAAAATCTCAGAACCCTACAGACTGGATCGTACACCCGTGGAGTCGTTTTTAAGCCGGCGTAGACAGGCCCCAACAGCACTTAAGTTGGGCCGCAAGTTAAGGAAAACACGTTTCAAACTCTATCATTTAGGCCGCTCTTCTTATCGTCGTTTGGGGTATACTCCTATGCTCCTTAAGCCCTATACTATATTGTTAACCCTAGTTTGCGGATAAGGTAGATTCCGTCATCGGCAAGTACATTGGGTTCGCGGTTTTTCGCCGTTACTAAGGGAATTGCAGCCGCAAGGGGTTTAAGTTTGACAGAGTTTTGGATTCAGCGCTTTTTCGGGGTCCCCATTGAACCCTTAAGAACCCTAAACCGATTATGGAGTAGATCGAGAAGTGTACCGAGTTGAAAGAAACCGTTTAGGGTGTAGTTATCAGGTTCATGTGCGACCGAAGAAAGTCCGAGGCGAGTTTTCCGCCTGAAAATCATGTCTGACCTGCGCTTGATGCTGAGGCATGGCAGTACTGGGGTCCTGCAGGGCTTACCGTAGAGTATATATATAGATATATACTTATTTATTTCCTTATTTATGTATTTATTTATTTATATTATAGGGTTTAGGGTTCAGTGGATTCAGTGGTTTAGAGTTTAGGGTCTAGGGTTTCAGGCTGGGTGTAGGGCTTTGGGTTTAGGTTTCCGATTGCCTAGACGATGACTTACTGGCTTACATGTTGTATGGTTAATATAGGGGCCTTAATGACTACCTACACTGTTTTGGAGGTTCCATAATGGTTCGAGAAAATTATACCACAAAACCTTATTCTAAAAGTTAGTGACCTACGGTAACCTGCTACTTATTGAGGCAACTGCAGCTTTAGGGAGTTCGTGGATTCTTGTTTGGGGTTTAGGGTAAAGGTTTTGCAGGTTGTCAGAAGACCATACATCTACTTGGACTCTCAGGACAGTTCCATGGCGGCGGTACTCTTTCATACGAACTGTTCAGGCATCGCAGAACTCGCTAGCATAATTTCGGGATCATTCCTAAGCCCCTAAACCCCTAAGCCTTAAACCCCAATCCCTAAACCCCTAAACCTTAAGCCTTAAACCACCCAGACGACTTCGAAGTATCGAAAAGAGAACCTGCTCCCGGAGCAAAGCCCCTTGACAGATGCCCTCGAACCACAAAGCCCAATACTTCCCAAACTCCTTCACCCTTGGGTTTAGGGTCCAGGGCTTAGGGCTGAGGGTTTAGGAGGGCTCCGGGTGTAGGGTTTATATGGTGTTTGCTTGCTATAAGGTTAAGGATTTAGGGGTCAGGGTTTCAATGTTTAGGGTTTAGGGTCTACGGTGAACGGTTTGAAGAACCATAGGGTTTAGTAGTAGAGTAGATAACCTTTAGCCTCCTTTGGGTACCATAGCCCTTGTACGATCCCAAAGGTTCCGTTTTGGTTCCGCTATGATGTTTGACTATTCCCAGAGGGTCCAAAGATACATAAAGATACAAAGCAGGACACTGTGAGAGTGCAGTTTTTGCGTATTTTACGCGCTCCTAGACACACCAAACACAGATAGGAATCACAACTAATCACATCGACGGATAGTACAACCCATGCAAACGCCGAAAAAGAAATGCAAGAACTACGAAAAATACAAAAGCCCAAAAAGTTGAAATAATCAAAAAAACCAAAAAAATACAAAAAACAAAAAAAAAATAAAAAAAACGAAAAAAAATATTAAAAAAAAACAAAAAAAACCAAAAAACAAAAACAAAAAACATAAAAAAAAAAAACAATGTTTCGAGACTTTGGCTTCATCCATATATATTTCTGAGAGTTCCTAAATATGTTTTTTTTTTGTTTTTTTGTTTTTTTTGTTTTTTTGATGTTTTTGATTCCTTTAGTTTTTTAGTTCTTTTGTATTTCTGTATTTTCGTA